ACTTATCAATCATATGATGGATATTGTCTAACTGATTTTGAATAGTTTGAGAAAAATCAGACAAATTAAAACAACACATTCCTGGAAACTGTTCACATCCCCTATGTTCATTTAACAATAGATAGTCTGTAGTAGCATGATTTTGAAGCACTACAACTCGCACTTCTCCTAATTCTTGGTTGAGTTCCAACAATATAGAACTAGTCAAATTTTGTTGTTTTACTGTATGCACAGGCCAGCTTAGATATCTCCTTCTGCATTCCAACAGCAAGTCCAGGAACTGGCGGGATGAATGCAGCTACAACTGCAACAGTGCCAGGATCTTTGTTGAAGTTTTTTGATGGTCATCTTCTGGAGTGACTCTTCCAGAGGATTGGAGGATGGCATTTAGACATCAAGCCAAAAATCTTGAACTTCTCTTTGCTTTCTATCTTTCTTCTTTCCTATCCATTGTAAACCATGTATTAGTTTTCTATTGTTGCATAACAAATTACCATAAGCTTAGCAGTTTAAAACAATAGAATTTATTTTCTCTCAGTTTCCATGGATAAGGAGTCCAGGCACAGGTTAGGTTCTCAGGGGCGCACAGGCTGCAATCAAAATGTTGGTGGGGCTGTGACCTCATCCAAGGCTTGGGGTTCTTGTTCATCTTCATCAGGTTGTGGTAAAATTCACTTCCATTGGGGGTCACTTTCAGCACCTAGAGGCCACTCTCAGGGCCTATCCACATTGCTGTCTTACAACACAGCAGGTTTCTTTTCCCAAACCAATATCAAAATTTCATTCCAGTGTGCTATGAGGAAATCTCAGTCAGCATAATGTAATCATAGGAATGACTATACCACCATATTCACAGGTTCTGTGCACTCAAGAGGAGATTTTACAGGACATGTACACTAGTGGGTAGGGGCTTTTGGGCCCTTGTAGGATTTTGTCTACCACAAAGCACCAGCACTTCCTAAGGGTTTTACTTCTAATATATGCCTAAATCTGGCCCCTTCTCCCATTTCCACTGCCACCCTAGCCCATGACACTACCATCTCTTTCCTTTAATACTCTTCTGCTCTCTCCTTTCTTCCACTTTTGCCTCCTTTTACCATTGTCCAAAACTAGCCAGAGTGACCTTGCAAAATTATGTAAGATGATGCTATTAACCCCCTTTAAATCTTCACCAATGTACCATTGCATTTTAAGCAAAATCCACATTTCTTCCCACAGTCTGCAAGCCTCTACATTATCTGGTGCTGCTTACCTATTGTATCATCTTCCTTTTGTTCCCTAGATACCAGTTACCTGGACTTCCTCCCATTCCATTTCTTAAATAAGCCAAAGATGTTTTCTCCCTATGCCTTTGCACTTACTCTGAACAAATTTATTTGGCTATTTGCATCTCAGTTCATACAATACCTCTTTAGAGAAATCTTTCTGATGCTGTAAAGCAACAGCATAAAAGTTCAACCACTCTGAATTACATCAGCCTATTCAGTATCTTTATAGTGTTTGTCACCATCAGCAAGTGTATTATTTATCTCTACTTATACATTATCTTCCCACCCCAAGTAGAATTTTATCTCCGTGAGGCCAGGGGCCATGTCTGTTTCATTCACTAGTATTTCTCCAATACCTAGCATAATACTGTGCTTCATACTAAGTAGGTGCTTAACACATATTATGAACTACACAAAATAATCAGAAATTTGGAAACATATTGTATAAAAGGACTCAGGTTCTGAGATCATTTTGTAATGTGAAAAACTATACATATATACATACATACATACACACGTGTATTCTCCTTTTCTAAATTGTCTGGAAGTAGAGTATTTAAGAATGAATTATTCTATTTGATAATACTAAAGTTCTCCTTGGACCCTGGAAGGAAAGCATCACTACAGAAATAGCTTTTTCACTACATTCCCCTTTGGTGGCCTGATATTTTTGCATTGACTAGATGGTAATATTCTCCTCCAGTGAATTCATATCCTGTTCCAGGAACTTAATTTATCACTGTTAGTAACAATAATCCTTATTTCAGAGACTTTGCATGTAGAAGATTCCCTAACAGTTTTAAATTCATGCTTCTGCCACCAAACATGAGCAAACCAGATCCTCCAAAAGCCATCCCTCTCCATCTTTTTGGGAACATCTCAGAGGAGAAGGTGAGTGGAAAACTGCTTGCTGTCTGCAGGGTGAGGTCAGTGTCAGGAGTCCTGCCACAAGTTGGAACAAGGGGAGAGAAAATGGTTAATTAACTTTGGAAGTGGTCTGTAAGGGTCTACCTGGAGTGGTTCCTGGTGCTCCAAATAATTCCAGTATCTTCCAGGTCTTTCCAGGAGGAAATACATTGCAGTCCTTAAGAACCTGACTGAAAAGAGTATGTACTGATGACATTTTCTGTGGTCAGTTTGCTAAGTTAAACTATTATATACAGCTTAAGAAATTTAAAGAGCCTCTGGCTAAAGGGCTAAAATGTAACAGGAATGCTTAGGAACTGTTTATATGCTTGATTTGTTTTACAGTGTTTTTGGTCTTTAGTTTTGATTGGATTGTTTTACTGGAACATGAAGGGCATTTAGAAGGCAAGAAAGTGAATAGGGTACATTTGCAACAATATGCCCTAAAGCAACATCTTAATGTCAGAAGTAAATTATAAGAACTTACATTACTGATGACATACATTATAATTTAAAGCCAGGGGAAATACATCAAGGTTGTTCTCAGTATGATATAAAAATGATTTTCTTTGTATCTTTTGCAACTATATGAAGACCTTTATTGATGAAAGTGGTATCAACAGAAGGTAAAAGAATACATATCTCCTGTAATGCACAAAAACATTTTTTCTGAAACTTCCCCAAGCTTTTGTATCTATCTTACTGAAAATACTGTTTATTTCATAGACAGATGGAATGAATCACTTCTAATGTTACATATGTGACTCCCAAGATGTCAAGAGCAAATATATCTAGAGTCTGACATGATACATTCCTGATGTAAGTATCCAGTCAATAATGGCACAAGTAGTGATGACAGTTAAAGAATAATTAAAACTGTTTAGGAGCCTGAGTAATTTGTCTACACAATCTTTAGTCTCTTAAAAAAAAAAACAAAAATTCTTGCATGCTCTTTCTGGTTATCTTTTTCTTTGCTGTTTTATTTGAGGAATAAATAATGTTTGTTTGTATTCACATTTAAGTCTTTTGAGATTAATGTGAATTCAGGCCCCTAAATTGAGGCCTGAATTAGCTATCAAATTATTAACAAAACAGATACTTTATAAAATTTTACTTAATTATTACTATAAAAATACTAATATAAGATGAGGCCACAAGTATAAAGGAGAAATATAGAGACATCGCAAAAGTATTGTCCAATGAAAACAATAGATCATGTATTCTTTGGTCATAGAGTATATATGGTCTAAAAATCATACTTTTGGTAGGCATAAGATACAATGTGGCATTCCATATCAATTAAAATATACTTGGTAATTGCCAAATCACAATCACAGCCTGTGCTTTATTCTTCTTTGTGTGTGTGTCTGTGTATGTGTGTATATACACATACAGATATGGCTGAATTAGCCCTGGGTCTCTAGTACACCTAAATTTCTGACAGGTGCCCAGTGAAGTATTCAGTCAGGAGAGATTCAGCCATTCTTACGTAGCCTTGGCCCCAGCAGCTGAAACAAGTCTAAGAAAAACCTATTCATTTCTTTTAATTTTATTATATTATTCAAACTGTCCTGTGGGTTGCCAGCTTCCTCTTTTGGTATTCTCCATACCTGGCGAAGAATCCTGCTTGTCAGAGCTGAAAGGAATTTGGAGATGATCTAGAATATCAGTGGCTGCCATGGCAGTGCACCCTTAGGTCTTCTTCAGGAGAGAACCAACTAATAATATTTATATACTCATATACTGTGACTATATATAAAATAATGACTCTGAATTATGTCTATGGATATGTTTCATCACTGGTTTCCTAGAAAACCTAGAAGAGGGAATAAACTCTTTTGCTTGTTATCTTCTGATCTAAAGGTAGCCTTCTATGAGAGGCTACCGTATTACCTCCAGGGAGAGGTAGGAGAGATGAAGTCCCTCACCACTTGGGAAGATGTGGCTTTGAACATTAACTGAGTCATAGCCTACCTTGGGAATTAGGTGACAACTGCATGGTTGCTGGAAAGAAAATGTGTTTTTCAGGGTCAGTGCCCATCTCATGAAACATCAGGGTGCTCTTAGTGCTTTGAAATGATACTATGTCAGATTTCACCCAGAGGAAATGGTGAAGTTAGAGTCAGGAGGCTGAAGTTCTAGCCATAAATTTACTAAGGCCACCTAATATTAGTAGAATACTCCTACCTTCACATAAACATTTGTGAGATTGGAAGTGCTCAATAGTCATTTTCCAATGAAGAATCTTTAGTCCTAATTTCTTATTATGTGTATAACCTTGTGTGATGTGTAGAAAATACATTGTCTTTTAACTGGAAGCACTACAATGTGAGGCAAGGCATAACACTATAGGTTTGAAAGGGATTATGAAACCATCTGGGCCAATGTGTCCAAGTGGTTTGTCAGTCTATGCTTAGACATGGGAGCTCAGGTGGTTGGAATGTTGTCCTTGACAGTGAGCTACAGTTGGATCTGACATACACATGGACTCAGGGCCTCATTCCACTCCTAAGCATCCTGGTGCAATGACCATGGAACCAGGTCTTCCTGTCAAAGAGTCTGGACATTATTACTGGTTCTTTCCTTGGATCTGTGGCTATAGGTAAGTACAGTCATCATCATTGTAAAACTTGCCATACTGGGTTAACAGTAAATGAGTTCATGGAATTGAAATTGAAATTGAAAATTCTAAACTAGGATTATTTGCTGTGTCAAATTTATCAAATTGCCTCAGTAAATCTGTTAAAATATACTAATAAACATTGAAGGGGAGAAAACACCAACTAGGATTGTTGGATATTTTAACATTTCTTGGAGCTATAATTCTCTGGAGATAAAGGGTGTGAGGGTGGTCTCTTGATTATTTAAGACATATTTCTTAAAAGTCATTTGGAACTACTGATTGTACCTTAAATAAGAAAAAATATTTATTGCATGTGTTTAACATAATTCTTCCTGTTTGACCTCAATCTTTCCCTGCTCATTAAAAGTTGATTTTGCCATCATCAAAACTGGCCCAAAACAAAAGGATGAAGATTAAATCTTAAAATCATTTCATCTAAAAACTGGATTTCCCCACAGCCATTGATAAAATCTAATGACACTGGATTTTATTCCAAACCTCATTATAAAAAAATTCAAGAGTAAATAAAATTTGCTTTTCCATAGTAAGTAATATAGCAGGTTCTTATTACACTAGCTTAGGTTAAAAAGTTTTCAGATGACCCTATAAGAAAGAAAAATGATGCATTATGTTTGTATAATACTTTAAAAGTATGACAGTTTTACATGTTATTTGATGTCTGCACAATTACTCTGGAAAGGCATGACGGGCATAATGAACCCAGGCTTCAGCTAAAGAGGGATCATGCCCCAGATCATATGGTTTTCAACATGTGGCAAGACTCCTACTTAAACCAAGCACTCCTGACCTCAAATTCTATGCTCATCATCTTCCAACATGATCAATGTCTCTCACACATCATATTCCTGCCATGGTACCTGAGATTTTCCTTGTTTGGAAGATTTTGTTTGGAAATTTGGTTCTCACATCATTTTGAATATATTATAGGTCACTTATGCTGTCTGTAACTTCATGGACTTTAATTGTAAAATGTCAGGTGCCACACCAGCTTTAATATCACTAGCTCTATCCTTCTAAGTCAGTGGAATAAAAGGATTTTTCTATATTTCAAACATACATAAAATGCAGAAGACAGTCAAGGATTCAGTATTTTTGAAGCCTGTTGGCTACATGCAAAACTAATTAGACTATAACTTAAAATTAATGAGTAATGATATTTCTTTAATTGTTCTGGTTTTTATCAATGTTGAAACACAGTGCATGACTATTAATTTTCTGCTTAGCTCGTAAGGACTTGGAACTTCTGCTTTTTCTCAGTGCTAACATAGACTGACATATTATAATCCATGTTCAGAGCCAGTCACCTGAAAAGTTTATGATATTTTCATTCATATTGACATTTTCAAGGTCTTCATTTCCTCTTCCAGACCTGTGCTCTTTCCTACCACCCTGTACTGTAAAGAAAAAGCTGGGGAAGATTCAAGTATATGAGGTTTTGTGTTTCCCTATCCTATCTTTTGTCATTATTTTTTATATCAGTAATGATCAAACAGATTTGTGTTCTAAAGAATGTTTCTTTCTGTGCAATAAATATCTATTGAGAATAAACAAGCATTATTATTAGTAATGAATCTTCTAAGCCCTCATAGCCATCTGTCTATGTGTCTGTGGGTGGTGGTGGCAGAAGGAGGGGTAAGGGTGGTACAGGCAAAGGTGAAATTTGTTAAGGGATGTGGTAAAGAAAGGTGAGGATCATTCATTTAGCCAGATCCATGTCCCCATGTAGACTCAATCATCTCTGTGATTGATATTTCCATGTGCACAGGTCTAATTCTTTGTCCTAGTTTTTTTCAGCAGTGCTGTGGTCTGAATGTTTGTGTTTGTAGGAAAAATGAAAGTGCCTATGGCCAGGATCCTCACCTGGCCTTAATCTACTTGATGATGTAATTGGCCTACTGCTAAGATAATGCTTACACACCTGTTGGCAATGAGCCCTTAATTTTGGTGCTATACATAAAGGGCTTTGCCCAGTGCTCTGCCTGAAGGCAGAGGCAGAGACGGATTATGAACTTGACAGAGGCAGATGTGATTCCAGCATTCGACTTGCCGCTGTGAGACTGAAGCTTCGTATAAACCCTTTTACCCGTAACTGTTCCATTGTTGTTAGTCAGTCTCACTGAATCCAGAGTGAACTTGTCCAGGGGCAATCTCCCTCAGGTGAGACAGCATCACCCCAAGAGTTCATAAGTTAAAGTCCTTGTGAGATGGTTAGGTGACAAGGGTGGAGCCAGCATGAACAGGATTAGTGCTTTTATAAAAGGAAACCCAGAGACCTCTCTGGTTTCCTTCTACCATATGAATAAAGCAAAAAATAAAATGACCTAGAAAGTGGGCCTTCACCAGACACTGCCTCTGCCTATGCCTTGAACTTGGACTTATCAGCCTCTAGAACTGTGAGATAAATGTCTGTTGTTTATAACCTAGTTTATGGTATTTTGTTACAGCAGTACCAATAGACTAAGATAAGCAGTATGGGCCCCTGCAATCCTAAGTAAAGTACCAAAGTGTTTTAGAAAAGGGTTATGAGGAATGAAATATTGAGTGGTACAGCTTTGTATTTATTGGGAGAAAAAACTTCTGAATTCATTAGGAAGTATTTGTAAGATTGGCAGAGTTTCCCACTCATGTTCTGATGCCTTTGCAAGGAGTGCAGTCTGTTCCTATAAAGCAATAAAGTCATCAAGTGCAGGTGACTGATTTTCTTTGTTATTTTAAATAGCCTTAAGAATCTTTCCACAGGAGGAAGCCTCACCTGATAGAGTTACTTAACAAGGCATTTACATTTTTAATAGATTGTTGATAAATCCTATTATCAAAGTCTGATGCAGAGGCCATAACATAATGGGCAAGATTATGACCAGGTTTTAGTTCTTTGAAGTTACTATGAAGTGTACTATTCTTAATATTCACCAGTAGACTCCATGACACACAGTTATAAGGCCAAAATATAATTAATCATAAATTACCACTATACCAGTTTCAATGTTTATAAGCAATTTTCTTGTACATATTTCAGTGCATAGCCCTAACAATCCAAGAAAACTGGTGGCCCAAAGTTGAATGGGCAGTCAATAGGAGTATCACCTGTGCTAGCATTAGCTGTGCTCAGAGTCCCTTTCTTATACCTTGTGGTCTAACTATTGTCCTATTATAGGTAAGGTATTGGTTGCATATGTTATCTTATTCATTTAAATAATTGTTCATTATGAAAATATTTTCTTTCCTGAAATCTCTACCTTTAACCTGATTCATATTATCCAATTATGTGGTTATGATGAGGACAGAGCCAATTCATCATGCATAATGATGGGAATCTTCTTTCACTATAGGAAGGTCCCACACCTACAGTGACTGACCATTGGAAAACCCAAGACACAAAAGCTTCTAAACTTTGTAGAATTGTTTAGACATTAGTTAAGGGCTGTATTAGATTCATTTGCTCCAGACCACTCTTTCTTGAGTCTATCGGCTATAGCATTCTTGTCTTTGCAGTTGACTAGCAATGTAGGAAGGATTATAACCAAAGATTGATAATCTCAGAAGGCAAGGGAAGGAATTTCATTCTAGACCTCTACTTTCAGTGGAGACCAGCAGTGAGTGCTTGTCATCCATTTCCAAAATATTTACTCAGCAGCAAAGATGGTTCACAAAAGTTAACCTCTCACATACACATTCTTATCTACTCTGGTGAAAGCATTATAAGTATGTGTGAGTACGTGTGTCTTCAAAAGGGAAAAAGTCCCCTCAGAGGCTATTTTTCTAAAATATATCTTTTTAATTGTTTCATTTTGTCAAAATTAGACAATTTAAAAATTTTTGCAGCTCTATTAGGGTGTATTTGATGCATAATAAACTACTTATTTTTAATGTTTACAATTTGATGACTTTTGACATGTATGTGTGACATTAATATTTATTTATTTACTGTAGGAATTGGCTCAAGCAAATAAGAAGACCAAGAAGTCCTCCAGCATGCCACCTACAAGTTGGAAAACCAGAAAAGCTGATTTGAGTCTGTGTATAAAATGAAAGTTCCTGTGGTCAGGATTCTCACCTGGCCATGGTTGACTAGCTCACTGGACACCTGTGGGCAATACGTGGCTGTTGACTCTATAAAAAGAGCTCTGCCCAGTGCTCTGGGCATGACACGGTGGCAGGGCTGCAACACTACAGGAGAGCAGAGCGGAGACTGGAGTGGGCAGCGCTGAAGACAGAGAACCAGAGGACGGCTGTGCGGGATGACTATGCAGAGAGGCCCAGAGGATGGCTGTGTGGGATGGCTGTGCGGGACAACTGTGCAAACAGAGGGGCCCAGGACGGCTGTGTGGACAGAGGGGCCCAGAGGCAGAGACCAGCTTGCTGCATGCAGACTCACTCTGAGTGAACGGAATTTTAGTGACTGACCTGCCACCTGGAAATAAAGTTGGGTATAACCCTTTCACCCCAAGAACATTTTGCTGTCAATTTCTTTGTTCACACTGAATCCATAGCAAACTTGCCCGGGGCTGAAACCCATTGGCAAGACAAAGTCCAAGGGCCCGAGACCCAGGAGCACTTAGTATCCAAAGACAGAAAATGGACATCCCAGCTCAAGCCAAAAAATGTAAAGTGTCTGTCTGCTGCCTTTTTGTTCTATTCAGGTTCTCAGTAGACCGGATAATACCTACCCACACTGGCGAGGATGATCTTTTTTTACTCACATTCAAATGCTAATCTCTTCTGGAGACATCTTCACAGACACATCCAGAAATAATGTTGTACCAAATATCTGGCCATTCCTTGGCCCAGTCAAGTTGACATGTAATATCAAATGTCACAGGGTACTAGGCAGATCTTTGGGGAGCAAGGAGCTCTTTACTTTCTATAATGATATGAAAGGTATGAACCTGTGGTTCTGAGACCTTCTGATCTGCAGAATTCTTGCTCATGAGGCTGTTTTACCACTTCTCTATTGTACATTTGTGTGGGAAATACAGAGGCTGGCATCCAGGGTTATTCCCTTATTTTTATTTTGGGGTTATCTTGGTAATGCTTACTTACTGATTTATTGGTACCAATGGGAAAGCAACTTTGAACCAAGTTTGAGTTGTCATTCTCACCAATTTGAAAAACCAGGCAGACTCTTTTTGGCCTGACATGATCACCCCATTTTCTGCTCTGTACTCTAGTCATTCTATTTGGAGTACCCAAGACCAATTTCTAAGACCTTCTGTCATTTCTAAGGACCTTTAGTTGACTACTTGTTTGCACCCACCTCTGCAGGCATTTAGGATTTAGGTTCTGTTATTTAATCTCTGTCATTCTGCTACTGGTTGAACATGTGTGTTTCCCCCATTCTGACCCCTTTCTCATGCTTATGTCCAACTAAGTGCCTACTCTAACAATTCTATATTTCTTTGGAATTTATCCTTAATTAGCTGTTCTTTCATTCCTGGTCACTTTACTCTTATGGATTCATAAGGTTTTTTTTTTTCTTTTCTTAATTTCTTTACCTTTATTTTGGTAGGATTTGAAGTGGAAACAGATACAAATGCATGTGCTCTCTGCCATGTTTTACTCAGTTGTCATATGTCTTACACTTAAAAAAAATAACATTTTTATTGAAGTGGTATTTACATATTATAAAATTCATGTATTTTAACTGTAAAATTGGTATTGTTTTCAGATCTTAGATGTTTGAAATGGTCTACTCAATAGTTAAATGCAGAATCCTGATAACTACAGATGTCTTTTTCTACCTTAAAACCACATAGATAAATATATACATTCCTTTTGGTGAGAGTGGAGGGAAAGCTTTATGTTCTTAACACTTAGAAGAAAAGTATTATAGACTTTTGTCATAGATCTGGATGAAAATAAGTAGAAGACCAATATAGTGGGCAATATTTTTAACTACGATGGCCAATAGCAGAACTATTGTTTATGAATAAGCAATCATGACAAAAATAGAAGAATATCCTCTACTGTCCACTCAATAATGCTTAATTGGTTCCTACCGAATTTAAAATATGTTAGAAATGTATGAAAATAAATGCATCAGCTAAAAAAGAATAGATCAACTAAAAACACAATAAAATAAAATAAGATAAAATAAGCCCAAGACTTTAGGTGTTTATAGACTGAAGCAATCAGTTTAACTTTTAGTTTAAGAAATTGTGGGTGAATTCTCAGAAGCTGACAGCCTAAAGAAACAGCAAATTATATCCTGCATCTGATTCTCAACTAAAACTTAAATTTCCTATTTAATCTTTTCCTTTTTTTTCTTCCTCAGAATATTTTCCTCCTTTTTTCTACTTCTCTAGTATTTACTCCTTATACCTTTATCTCTTCTTCTTTTCCTTTTTCTCAAACCTCTCTCCTCTTTAACTCACCAAGATGTGGCTGGAATGAAGTGTTTTATATGCAACTGTTATTATAAAAGTTGAATCAAGTTGAATTTTCCTAATTGGCTCATTTCCCTCATTAAAAACATTAGAGGGCTTCCCCTTATCTACATACAGCACAAAGGCCAATCTTGCTTAGTGTTCCATTCAGCATCTTCTTCAACCAACCCCTGCTTGCTTTACCAGCCTCATCTTCTAGGACAGTAGCTCTTCAGTATCTCAAATCCACAAAGCCACAGGAGCCAGGGAGCTTATAAAGCATACTACTTACTCTCTATTAGTCATCTGTGTTCTTCCACTTTGTCTAGATCAGGCCATGAATATTGTAGGTGTTTAATAAATATGAGTTGAATTTGAATTTTCTGTTATAAATTTGAAAGCAAATGAGTTGAAGTATTACTATTTCTCAATTTAAGAATTTAGAAGCCAATTAAATTAAGTCACATTTGGCTTATGACTCATTTTTTTTCATCTTTAATATAGAAATAAAGCTGTTAAAGGTACAAAAGCTTTCCTTGCCTGCATTTCCATGCCCTGGTGTTTTGTTTGATCAGACAGATGGCACTAGGTGTTTGACTCTGGTACATGGTTGATGCGCATGGATAAAAAGCAAGAAGTGAGATTGAGTTCCAACTTCATAAATTGTTGATTAGTAGACCATAGTTCACTTTCACTGCTGAGAGATATTGCTGCCAATGTTTTAATCATTCTGGGCTCTTCTCCATTACATAAACCTGCTATATAAATTCTTATGTTTTCATTCACATGTTGCACCCTTCTTTCCTCAATTCTCTTGAGTAAAATCTTGCAGAAAGAGTAAATAGACATTTCCTTGACATTTACAAAGGGCCCAAGAAGTCCACAATTTAGGCACTAATGAAATATGAACTATGCCGCATTATACTTTGAGAATGACCTTGTGTCAACGTCAAATATGGAGAATGAGTGTTCAGGGCATTTCATGGTTTCTATCCAAATCTTATGGCACTTCATAGAATCTTTTCTGTACTTACATACCCTGATTTTTTTGTAGACATTAATACAAAAATGACAATTTAGGTTGTTCTAAAAAATCTAAAATCTGATTTATCTATGAGACACACTTCAGAACACAAACCAATTTTGCTATAGTAATACTTTGTCAATATTTTCTGACAGAAGACAAATGCTGTTATTATTTCACCATTTCTTACCTTTGTAAAAGTTTGGAATTTTACAAAACGACTCTTTGCATGTCAAAATAGTAAGCTGATGAAAAGAAAAAAATATATATAGCTATTTTTGTATCTGGTAGCAATGATGGATAATCCAGGTGTGTTGAGTTATAACTGGGGCACATACCATATTGACAGCTAAAAAAAAAAGTGAATACAATTTTAATGGAGAAATGCCTCTTTTCATTAAAATCACAGATAAATTTTTTTAGAAACCTTAATTTGAGTTGTTTCACTTTTTATTTGATTGGATATTCTCTATGATAGAAAATTGAAATCAGGACTACCTCTAAGTCATCAGTTCCCACCTAGTAGTTCCTTGGTCGGCATTTAGAACAAACAGTTGTGGAGTCAGTGAGTACTCAGCAAAATTGGGAAAAAGATGAAATTACGTTTCAGGCTTCCCACCTTTTCTTTTCTAAGCCCTTTTCTAGATCTCCTTTTCTATTATCTATACTCCAACACACACACAGAGTCACTCAATATCCTCACACTATCTCAGCCTTTTTCATAGAGAAAATCTGATAAATTCTATGAAGGCAGATGCTTAGAAATTTAATGTGCTACAATGATCAGGAGAATTAGAAGTTAACAAAAGAGCCCAAGAGGAAAGACAATGAAGACAATACATAACTCAGTACTTGTGGGATTTTGAAAAATAACTTGGGGAGAATCTTTCTAGAACTTTAGGTTTAAGATACAAATGGCAAATCTTTCTCTGAGATGGTATCCATAACCTCATAAAGAAACAGTGTGTTTATGTTTGAACCACAGCTGGTGATCAGGAAAACTGGCACTGTGCTCCCAGTAATTATTCACTTTTTCCAAGAAGATGTTATACTTAGCTGTTATGCTCTACATTATTCCATGCACCCATTCCTGGCATTATTTCATTACATTATTTTCCCAAAGGCAGGAGCATACTCCATAGAATATTTCTTATCTCCACATAAATAGTTTTCCAAAATAATTGACCCTTTCAATTCCTTCTATAAAGTAAACTGATTCCCATGGAACACTTAATTCCTTGACTAATCCCTAAAATTACCAAAAATTATTTGTTATCAATTTATCTATTTTTCTTGAATCTTTTGTGCCAGTCAGATTTGTTATTCTAATTGTGTAATGTAATGAAATGGTATGCAAACTATGAAAAATAACTAAAATAGTATGTAGATGTGAAAGTAAAAAGAGATTTGTTGTGTCTACAAACAGTAAATTGAATGCCTTGCATGAACTCAATAACTGTTAGTCAAAAAACTGAATTGGAATAGATAAGAGTAAAAATAATTCACAAAACTTGAAAGAATTGTGGACACATTGCTTTACAAATTTCCTTATTTTTTTTCATTTAAAAAATGTGAAACTATAAATTGCAGATAATACATTTCAGATATGATTTATGCAAGAAATAGAACTCCAATCATGGACCTATAGTTATGTAAAAGCATCTGGTCTTACCTCAAAGAATTGCCTTGTGAAGGAGCATTTTTATGTTAGATGTTTAAAATTGTTTGAGGTATATATATAACATTTTTATGAGCCAAATTTAATCTTTTATTAACATTATTATTATTATTACTTATATCACCAGATACTGATCCAGTCACTTCTGAGAAGCAGGCTTCTATGAAATATCAGTGGAGGAGTTCTTTACTTGCAAACCAACATCA